CTCTTTCGTGCCGACACGTCCGTACGATACGTGGTATAATAGTCAAATAATAACGAACGCTTATCCCTCGACTCGTAATGTATTCGGAGCACGCGTTTTACTGGTCCTATCGACGCTGTCATTAAGTCATGTGTGCCACACAATTTGGATTCGCGGCTGATATATTTCAATTTTCTTCTCTCTCTCTCTCTCTCTCTCTCTCCCTTTTTGTTTCTTCTTACCTCTGTCGTTTATCGTTCGATTGTATTCGTAATCGAATCGATTAGATAAAATCGTGTCGATATTCATAGTTCGATTGTATTCGTAATAGAATCGATCAGATAAAATCGTATCGATGTCATCGTTGACCTTTTGCGTGTCGATTAATACAATGATATAATAAGAACGAACGTGGTCCATCATGTCTTTCGTATATTAATGGCGGAGTTAGACAAAGACAAACAAAAGGGCAGAACATCGAAGCAGGAAAGTGAGAGTAATAAAATATAAGTCCGAAATGCTATTGTACTCGCACAAAGATATTAATTTCACGAACAAATGGTACAAGTTGACCGAGCATTGCGCAGTGGATGAGACAGTCTTGTGGCATTTACGATCACTTCAAGTGATGCTTTAATTGTTCAGCCGAACGTGGGGGTTTCTATTTTACCATGAAGGTTGTCTGCGTTTGTGCACGCAATTTCTAAGATTTCGTGGAAAGGGCCATAATGATCGGAACATCGCAAAAGGCGCGCTGATAATTCATTTCGATAATTCGAGTGAGGCAACGGTATCGAAAGAAAAAGAGAAAAAGAAAAAAACAACGAAAAATTCGATCTATTAAATGCGTCGTTAATTAATTTTGTCGATACGAGTGACAACGATCCATGAATCCACTCTTTACGAAGATCGTTTCTAGAAATAAATGTTACTCGTATGCGTTTACCAATATTTGTCGATCGTTCTTGATCTTCTCATTAAAAACCTCGTAAAAAGCACATTGCTAATCAGTTACGACAATTCGAGGAACAATGAATGTAAAAATGACAATTCTTAATAAATTTAACATCACTACGAATACGCCGTAAGTAGTACAAACAGAAATAACGTCGAACTCGACTACGCGGGAACGAAAGCTCAAATCAAGCAGGTGATTTTCACGTGTAAAATCGAGAACAAGAGGCTACACACAGACTTTTCACCTGTTGCCTAGAATGCCTATGTGTCCCGCGCTATAGGCTCTAACGGATTGTTCTTTAACATTCTTCTACCCATAATCCCGTTCGAAAGTTTTCGTTCCGTCACGTACCGCGAGAGACGCTTCATTTCCTTCTGCCCTTTCTCCCTGGACACGAACCAGCTTCTTCGAATTACCTTCGGAACGTGACTGCTCGAAATCGAATTAACTCGCAATTCGACTTTACCTAATCGATTCGATTAAGTGCATCGAGGGAACTCAATCGTATCCGAAATTTATTTAGGTTGAATTATAGTTAACCCCGTGTCAGGGGCAATCTAGATGATGGATTTAAGTCGTTACGATCCTACGGTTGTGCCGGACATATCATATTTCGTCGTAGCAATCAGTTTAGCGGGGCTTATATTTAGCTAAACACACCATGAGACTTTGTAAAAGTTCTGCTGGCTCAAAAATAGTTCTGCAGCGATTTATGGCCACGATTTATAGTTCGTCGACATCGAAGCGGGAAAATTTGATTGGGACAAATGTAACATTCTTTCTGTGCGACCTCGGTAGGGTTAATCAAGAAACGGTTCCGACCCGTTTATTTTTAGACGATACCTTCGTACAATAAGATATAATTAAGAAACCCTACCGGTTATACCCTGCTTCGTAGAACGTGATATTCACTCCTTGTTCCTCGTTTAACCGTTAACTGTCGAATCTAACCTGTGTTCAGTATCGAATCACATTTACTTCGATATGATTCTCATTTCGTCACTAGTACAAATATTACTAGTGACAACCAATCGGACATGGAATACATATTGTTCAAACAGGTGTGTTCAATGTGACAAAATTTTTTCGATTATTCGTATGGCGATAGAATTATCGTCACTTGAATAAACAAAGATTTTCTGATTAATTTCTTAAATAATTTGCAGAACTGGCAGTTAATTTGTAGCCACTATAAAGGATGATCGATGTGCTTAAAGAAACATATAGACCAAGAAAGGTTACTTATTTATTATAACTCTTATAATATGTCGATTACAAAGATGTATAACCAAGGAAAATAGAAGAAATAAAGCCACTTTATCGTCACGAAGGATAGGACAAATATAATAAATAAAGTAGCACGTTAACAAGGCGTTATCTAGGAAAATAAGAAAAGAATAAGAGAAACTACCGTCATACATAATTAACTCGCAATATACCACTTCAAAGGAAACAAAACATCTTTGTTTCGAGTTCAAGGTAACCGCAAACGTTCCTCACTCGTCACGAACGTAAGTATCATGTCGCTTCATTGACTTCCACAATTTCCGCGAACAGGAAACATCACACGGCAGGGTGCACCACTGCGCGATTCAAAGAATATCAAAGTACATCAACTCAGTCACCAGTAACCAAAATTCGTACGTACATTTAATGCTAGCTTTTGATAAATCAATGTCGTGGCATGAACCAAGATAAACCGTCGCGATTTACACTTTTTTCCCTCCTCTTTCTCAACGTTTATCTTGCAAAATCGTACTTTCGATTTTTCTTTTTCTCTCGTTTTTTTTCCTTTTTGTTTTCTTCTACTTTTTACGAAGCGACTAACAGTTTTACGTTACAGAAGAACCTAATCGTGACCACGTTAACTAACAACAGGCGCGTGTGCCCTTCCCAGTAAGAACGCATGAATCTATGCGCCGCTATGCGCTCGCAAGCGCGTGCACGACCACGCTTACTATGCCTGTTTAATTTTAGATCCGAGTAGTTGACGAGAGAGGGTCGTAGATAAGGGACGAACCGAGCTAAGAAATGGGTGAATGTCAATGTACACGATACGACATCATCGGTCATCGTGCATGTGCTCGTACATTATTGGTCGTCGACATCGACGTATCACTGCTTTAAATCAGGAAGACCAAGTAACTCGTGGTAATGGAGCAACGACCATACGTAAGTAATTCGAAAGTTCTCCGAATGAGTGTTGATTCGATTTTAAGGCTCGACTCTTAAACGACAATGGGGGACTTTTGACTGACCCACATTCTTTTTCTACAGAGTAGCGTCTGATTGATTATAGTATTCCACTACTTTGCTTATTGCTGAAGCCTGGTCTTAGCCACAGACACATCGAGCCAACGATAAGCCATAAATTGATTTATCGTTCGTTGTAATCGTTGTTTCGCAATGAGCGAGTACAACGTTAATGCAAGCAATATTATGTAAAATAAAATTAGCTAGAAGGAGTGTGAATTCTGTTACAACCGGAATCGATTTAATCTCACCCTAATGGCCGAGGATTATGGAAATCTTTTACAAACAACCTCTGCACGATCTCACATATGTCTGGCGTGTAAAAAAATGAAAAAAGGCAGTGACGAGACTTAAACGAGAAAATCAACTTCCTTGCCTATCAAAACGACATCGGAATTAGATAAAACATTACCTTGCGCAAACATTGTTGCTGCTCAGAAAACTGGTCTGGAATTGGAAATCAACAAAGAGAATACCAAACGCATAACATCACACATCATCATAACCATAATGAACACAACTACCGACGCATTATAAAACAAAGAAATAGTGGTTCTATTAATGGTCAAGTATCATCATCCTTACCTTGTTAAGCAGAGTGGGATTGTGAAGCTCGTCTAAAGACGGTCTATGAGCAGCCTGAATACTCATAATGTTCCTATAATTATCCAGTCTAGGCAGTGCCTCCCTGGTCATGTGCCTGAGGGACTTTTTCGTTTCCTGTTCACCCAGGAGACTTGCACGGCCTTCCAGGCTATCCACTCGATTCACGTGGAATCTGGTCCTTCTTAGTGGATTCAATTCCACTGTCTCGGGATCGGTATCACCGTGTATGCCGTTTTCGTGTGCCATTTTTTACTCTTTTTCAGTGTCTCTTTACCACTTGTCTTTCACGTATACTACGATTCCTTCACTTTTCGTTCGTTACACTGTCAACAACGTCAACTGACAGTGATCACGTTTGTCGACGGTCTGGAAGCTGATTTGAGATGTTTGTTTGTTGCAGACCAACCAAGTTCGACGATCAGAGAAAACAATCCGACAATTCCTTCTGCTTTACCGAGAATCCGAATTTATTGATTCAGTTTCGAATCGAAGTTCTCTACAGTCGTCTCGCGATTGAGAATGTTAAATCCTCTGGCTACAACGGTTGATACTCTTAGAGGCCTCCGAAGGGTAAGCTTCTTGGATGGATTTACAACAAGAAGCGAGGGTTCCTTTTATCTTCATGGAGAAAAAGGTCGATCGCTAGTTCGATATCGTACATCTAGTCAATAGTTCAAAGGAAGTTCGAAGGTGTAACGACGATCAATCTTCGAGTTACTAATGAGAAATCTTGTCTATGGAAATGTGACCCGCGTCCGGAAGTACTGAAGAATATGGATCTGTCCGAAGAGACTCGAATCGAAAACTGCGAGAATCTTAACTGAAAGTGGCGATCATGAAGATTATTTGCAAATGTCACTAGAAATTCAGGTACTCGTGAATATTTGATTCATAAAGAATAAGCTACATTAGTGATTCTCAATCTGTTTTCCTCGCATACTACCCGACTAATATATGATCAAGTCACGTGCTACCTTGTAGGTCGTTGTAGCATATCCTACGGTACGTCATTTTTAAATTTGATATATATATTTAATATATATACTTAATTCAACTCGCGTATCACCTGATAGTATTCAACATACCACCAGTATCATAAATTGGGAATCGCTAAGCTAGATGAGAATCCATATTCATGGCATCCCTTAAAATCGGTTGATCTTAAAAACGATCGGCGCCTGGTGCCCTTGATTCTAGAGTTACAATTAGTTAACAACTGCCGCGTAGGCTTGTCAATTATGAAATTACCCTTGTTTACAACACTCCACACATAATTACTAGCTCTCGACGGGTTAATGCATGGATGATCTAGTTATCTACTTAATCGTTCCTTGTAACGCCAGAAAAAAAGGCAGTTTCCTGAGTAGTGTAGAAACCGTTTACAATGTATGAACGAAATGCAAATGAAGAGAATGTTTTTGTAACGTTTGCTGATTTCAAATTGATAAAAAGAATGCATTTTGTGTGATACGTCATACGATAACTAATTACTTCGATAAAGAGTTAGATTCGTTATTTAATCAATTCTTAGAGATATTCATTTCTACCGTTTGTTGCAAATAAATTACACTTTTAATAAATCGGCAATCGTCATAAATGAATTTCGTTGCTTTAACAATTAATTCTAATTTAAAAGTTGCATAAAATTGAAATCATAAACAAATGATTATATCATTGGAGTTATTTCTGAAGTACTGCAAATCGTATAATTTTATGTTTATTACTCATTTATAATAACTAACTATGCTTCTAAATTATGTTTTATTTAGAAATTATATAATACTTTGTAAGATAATTGTAGTAAATCCAACAGAGTTAGAATATTTGTTATAAATCAATCAGTCGTGTGCTAATTTTACGTTAATTTTATGCAATTTACAGAGTATGAAAGATTCATTTTGTTACGTGTATTGCATATATTATCATCACAATTCGTTATCCACTTTATGTTACTGCGTTCAAGTTTTAGAATTTTCATCAATTTCGAATCAATTGCTCAACAGAAAAAGCTCTAGAATTCGAATAAAACACGGAAGATCAGGCATTTCATGGGCTCACGTAGTGTCCATGAAAACTTTCATGACAAGCAACAAACAGTGGTTATAAGTTGATAAACTTTTCCGACCACTGATTTCTCGAAGTCTAATGTGTTTTCAATTTATGCACGAATAAAATTATTTTTCCATCCTACCATACGAAATTTAACTTCTTCGGTTATCATTTTATTTCAGAAAACAATAAAAAAAAATCAGCGTACTGTTTCCTTTTTCCATTATATTGTGTCATATCTTAGTAAGTCGAATTAATGACAAATAAACATGTTACAAACATAAACTAAAGTAAATGTCAAAATTAAAACATTTAAATTTATTTTTGTGAATATTCGTAAATTTTATATTAAAAAAAACGGTAAAAACCTGACAATATAGATACTGATTTGAGGAGATGTTACGGGACTTCAGCAATGCAGCCGGCTCACCCTAGGCGCCGACCTTTGTTACAAAATAGTCTAACGTTTCGTTGCATTATTCCTATACACATAAAGGAAAAAGACCGGTACGGACGCGGGTCTTTCACTAAAAAAGAATCAATTGCAAAGGAATAAATAATAATATGTACTTTGTCCTTCACCTTCTTTCTCAGCCACATAAAAGAGACCGCGAGTGAAATAGTGTCTGTCAGGTATCCGATCCCCCCATAACCTCACGCCATGAATATTCACGCTTTCGAGCTGTTCTCACATCTGTCCATTGGATATAGAACGATGATTCTAACATTCAATGTTTCTTAAGAATGCAACCGATTGCATTTCGAATAATATACAACGAAGCCGTCAATTTCTCAACTTATGTTCACAAGTATATTCAGTATAATTATTTCTTCTGTCACTGGATTTATACTGTACAAAAACTAATCCGGTATGCACGCTTATAGGTTCACGTAAACACGTGCTGCTTCTGTCATACGTACTCGTGTGATATCTCAGACTCGCCACTCCACAACGCGTCCAACCGTCACAAAATCCCGATTCCTACTGACGGAACATCGCACAATTCCCCTTCGCTTTAGTCCGTTCATGCGCTCGCGTACGTAGCTAAAACGTATCATGCTTATACTAATGCGTATATGCACGCATGCACCCTTTTGCACATGCCCTGGAGCCCATAGTAAACGTTACTTTGCACATGCATTTTCTTATAGTTCAAGACGTCATTTAGTTAAAAGCATCTTTACAAATAGCCTATTCCTTTATTTTCGATTTATTTTTACTAAAAAATAATAATATTGAAATTTTTATTTCACATTTGTGAAATTACTTTTACGAAATCTGTGAGACGAATTTTATTTTATTAAAGATATTTAAAAAGTGTAAAATTAAGCAATTAATTTAAGTATTTAATTACATTGTAATGAATCTTTATTTTAATTTTATGTACTTTGAAACACATACCGAAATTTAAATATCATATAAGCGCTCTCACATATCAAACAAGAACATAAGAAATTATATAAGTTAATTTTTAATAATATTATTAGCAAAATAGAACTCTTTAGTAGATAGAAGATATGACAATTAAGCAATATTAAATAGTTTTCACGTATTAACACAAAATGCTAAAAATTAGTATAAAATATTATATTAAAATAATCAATATAATATGTAAATTAGATGATAAAGGATATTTCATAATATTATGTACATATAAATTTTTAACTAATCAATTTTATTACTTCTTTGTATTTATTGGTTTTATGTACATTAACAAAATGATATAAAATATAATTATTATTATAAAAAGTATATAAACAAATTATATTGCTTTTGCTTATTTTAACACAAAAATTTTATCTTACATTTCTATTTTGAAAACTTTATTATTTATATATTTTTAAAACGAAAAAAAAAAAAAACGAATAATTTGTTTTTGATACTAAAGATATTTCATCTTATAAATTTTCCAAAATTTGTTTAGTTTAATACATAAAGGTAAGACATATGTAATTATATTTTTGTGTATAATGTTCAAATAAGTGCACTGTAGACTCCAATTTACCCAACTTAATTATTGCTAAAACCACTAAACACAAGATCAATCGCTGCTTGTACATCATGATTTGTAAGATGTAATGCTCGAAGATTCAGTGTATCATTTTGTAGTCCTAATTCATGCATTTGCGCTAACATTTGTTGTAAATCCGAGGATCGTGGTAAAACTGGTGGTGTATGAACTTGCTGCATAGCTTGTGTAAACATTTCTGTAGTTATTATTCCAGAATTCGTGCTACCAGTTGAAGTGGAAGAAGTAGAATTTAAAAAAGGAAAACTTTCAGCTGTTGCTCTAGAAACTGCTGCTGCAAGTTGTGCAACAGTAACTGCAGAATTTGTTGGATTAGAAGATAAATTTGATGGTTGTGTAGAATCTGAAGATTGAGAAGAATCTCCTGCCATTTCTTCATCACCACTTAAATTGTCTAAACTATAAGAATAGACAGTAGGTTGTGAATTAGCTAATGAAGAATTGGAGCCAACAGTTACATTATTATGTGCTTCAGCATGAACAGCTGCAGCTATATTTTGGGCAGCTTCTACCAAAACTGGATGTGCTTCTGCGAATCTACCCATACAATTAAGACACATAATAATTTTAAATAATTCTAATACTAATAAATACAAACTAGGATTTACCTTCGAACAGTTTCTACATCTGTAAAATATGACATTAAATCAGGGTCCTGTAAAATTGCAATTGCTACAGTATCTTCATGTAATCCAGGAGAAGATGAGATGATATTGTTCAAAACTTCTGGTTTTTTACCTATACGCTAAAATTAATAAGTGTTGTTTGTAATAAATTTAATATATTACAAATTTGGTAAATATTTAACAATTGATATACATATAATGCACTTCGGAGACCAGGATTTTTCTTAAAAGATTTAAATGCAGATACAAGCTGCAATATTCTATCTTCTGATATATCTTTAGGAAATGATAACATTTCTGATTCCCTTTTTCTTAAAACGTGTACCATTGCACCACCTTTTAAACCATAAGATTCTAAAGTCATATCATCCTCTAGGACGCACCCACAATAAATCAATTCTATAAAAAAATAAGATAAAACATATGCAAAAATATTAAAATAAATTATGTTTATAATTACAATTATTTTAATGGAAATAACTATATACTTTTCTATAACACGTCATTGTGTTATCTTTATAATAAATGTATTTAAAAATTGGTTTAAAAAATATCGGAATAAAAAATAAAGAAAATGTCATCTTACCAAATGATTCTTTTGTTAGGTTAACCCTTCCAGCTACCTCATGTTTCAGTTCTTCTACCTTTGTTTTGAAATTAATATCGCTTAATTTAATTGTTGATACTGTTTGAGGATCTAAACGTACACTTAAAATTAATTCTGAGCTCATTATTATCGCTGAGAAACACTAAACTCGAAAATACAACACGATACACTTTTAAATCGATACACACTTCGATTTTACAAAATCATCATGAAGCATTTGTCATGTTCCAAATATTATCTTATCATTTATGTTTCACATTATTTTTAATTATTTTATAGAAAACTTTTAACTAACTTCAAATGAAATTATTTCCATTATATTGATTCTAATACTTTATTATTATGAATGAACTTTTAAAACGAATAAAATGGGATTGACTGTAAGAACATCTTGCACATTCCAGCTATGGCAGCTAACTATAAGCCAAAGAAACTAACAATTAGTTATAAAATAATTCATTCATTAACTTCACATATGCAAGAGATTACAATTGCTTCTTACAAATATATTTTAAATATTAAAATATATGCCATGGGAATAATATTTTTAAAATGTAGTAAGTCGATAAATGATTTCGATGACTCGATGTTCATTAAAATTGGTGTATCGATATTTTTGCGATATACAACCTAACGTTGCATTAGCAATATGACGAAAAAGTTCAGTGAAATGTTTGTGATAAGTTTTCATAGCTGACATTCAAATAATTTGTTTATAATGTTGTATAATATACAACTTTGATATGACATAATAACAAGCAGAGATGCAAGACATTTGCGAAAATATTCGTACAGCTATTGAACATGGACGTACTGACATAATTAGATCCCTTTTAGATGCATGTACGTGTCACAAATTTAATATTAAATTTAAATTTTATACTAATTTAAATTTTAATTTTGTACTGTCCAGTAACGTTATGTAAAAAATATTTTTATTTCAAGTAGAATAAAAATATGTTGTACAAAGCAAACTATATTTAGTATATTAAAGTCTTTGAAATAGAATTATTTATAATCTTCATACTATTTTCATAATAGGTGAAAATGGCAATACAGCTGAAGGTATTACAAAGGAAAAAATTCTAAATCAACCACTTTTAGAAGAAGGTACTTTCCTTTCATATGCTTCAAAGGTAAATATATGTATCATATATTATAAAGAATGCTTTATATAAGTTCACGAAGAGGTAAATTGTATTACAATTTATTTATGTAAAAATTCAGGCAAATCAACCAGATATAGTACGGACATTGTTAAGTTGTGGTGCTAATCCAGCTGTTCAGAATATTAATGGACATAATGCTGTAGATGTTGCATCGAGTGATATAATACGTCGTACTTACATTGAAGAATTATTAAGAGCTACTGCTGCATCTGAGTATGTAATATGTTACTTTATTATATAAATATATAATGTTAAAATAATTTTGTATTAATAATATTAGTATAAGAGAAACTTATATAGTTTATAATAATATACAATTGTTTAAAGGTTAGACAGGGTACTTCAATTATTAGATGCAGGATTAAATGTAAATTCATGGGATTCTCATGGTAGTAAAAACACACCATTACATTGGGCAGCTTGTTATGGAAATAAAGAAATTGTCACATGTTTAATTGGTACCATTTTAAAAGTCTTTATTTTACAAATTTTATTTACCTTTATATAATTTAATTAGTACAATGTATCTGTAGATAGAGGTGCAGATATAAATGCTGTTAATGGTTGTGGTGCTACACCATTACATGATGCAGTAAATCGTGGTGATGTTGCTATTTGTCAAGAACTATTACAAGCTGGTGCAAATCCTCTTGTACGAGCGACTAAAGGGTATATAAATAATATTATTTGTAATTAATATACTTTTGAATATATTGTAAGAAATTGTGTTGTAGAACTTTTGCAGGAAAAACTCCATATGATCTTTGTAGAGGAAAACAATCTTTGCACTGTTTTCTTCAAAGATTTCTATCAAACTTTGTATCGAACGAGAGTGAAACAATGCATAGTCCAACTGCAACATTTACAGAAGGAAATTACTGTCAAAAAAGTATTTCAAGTAACATGAGTCAACTTTCTATTGAATCTACTAAATCATTAGATCCAGTTTATGATGTTCCACTACGTGAATCAGGCAAAGAAAGTCCAACTAAGTGTACAGATAAAGATGGACTTTATAACTTACTTTGGCCACAACCAAAAACCATTGTTGAATTAAAAAATTTGTCTACGCCATTTATTCCTGGAAAAGAACTTTTTATATCTATAATACAGGTATAATTTTTATACATAATTATAACATATGTTACTATTTTATTTAATTTTTACATAATGCATTATTGTATAGGGTAGTGAATCTATACACAGAATATTAGATGTTTGGGAAATTAGCAGAACTCATTTACTGGAATTAGGCTATGATGTTAAAATTGGCGAAGTACATCCTAGTTCTGGTAAATTACTTAATGATAACAGAATTGAATGTATAGTGAATAAAAAATTATTTAATACGCCTGAAGGATATCAATTGCATATTTCACAAAATACTATTAAAGTTGGTGCTGGAAGTTTAGCTGGATTACATTATGCAGTTTGTACTTTTGTACAAATTTTACGATTAAGCAAAAATCATAGTAAATCAGAAGCATGTGAAATCGAACCTGTTTTTATAAAAGATGAACCAAGATTTACTCATCGTGGTGTATTGTTAGATATTTCACCTAGAGGACGTATACCTACATTAGAATATTTGCTTCATATGATTGATTTATGGTCATCCTTTAAAATATCTTACTTGCATTTATATTCAAGACTCACTCCAAATTGTGATTGGCAATTATGTTATTCAAAATCAGAAATGGTTACTCTCGATCGTTATTGCAGGTTTGTTTACATTTCTGTAAAATATTTTTCTTTATATATGAACATAAGACTAATATATTTTAAAAACGACTTTTATTTTAGAGATCGACATTTGGATTTAGTTCCAACTTTAGATGTTGACTCTAATGTAGGACAACATCACTTGTCACAAATGTGGCCAATATTTCAAGAATTATTAGCAGTGTTTCCAAGTTTAAGTTATGTCCATGTTGGACCTAGATTAGCTAATTTATTGGTTCAAGCAGATAACTTTGATTTGAATTTATCAGTTAATGAAACAATAGAAACAGATATGTCAGAAGTATTTAAATCATATTCTTGTCTTCAGGAACTTTGGCATATTTTAAATTTAAGTCCAAATACAACTTTATTACTTTGTTCAAATGGATTACATTCTAAAGCAGAATTTCATAACATACCCAGCAATATTATTCTTGTTGAATATGGCTTTCTGGTAAATAAAATTATATTTAATATAATAAATTTTCAAATATAATAGAATTAAATTTGCTATTATGAGATTCTATATTGTAGGCTGATTATGATTTTTCTGAATGGACAGAAGCATTTAGAATAGCAGGTGGTAATGTATTATCCAGTTCTGGAACAGCAAGTTATAATAGCTTGGCAGGATGTCCAGCATCAACATATGCAAATACAAAGAATGCAATAAAAACTTCTCTTGAGCAGGATTCAATTGGTATAGTGGTAGCTCATTGGTCTGGAAGTCATCATCTTACTCCCCATCCTTTCGCATGGATTGGATATTTAATAGCAGCAGGATTGTCATGGAATCCAACTAGTGAAATAGATATGGGAATTGATGATAATTATGAAGTGTCTGAAGTATTTGGATCGAGGTAATAAACGTATTAAGCTAAAATTAATTAACAATTATTACACATTTATATAAAAGTATTAAAGACAAAAATTGTAATAAATTCATTGTTTTACAGACAAAAATGCATCACAAAATTATTAGATATTCATGTTTTCCAAGATGCAGAATATAAGATTGGTAATGCAATATTAGAGTTAGGGCGTTTAGATACTTTAGTACTTACCTTAAGCAAAAATCAAGGAACAAAAGATTTACAACAAATTCCTGATAATCGTGGATCAACATTGTATAGATTATTAACAGATCCAGATAATGTAAATTTAGAATATCTTTCGGCCGATTTATTTGCTGTAAGTACAACCATAAGGCCTAAAATGTATTCAGGATAAATATAAACTATATTGAGGATAAACAAATAATATTTTCATTTTATTTAACAGAAAGTAACAAAGCAAGTTAAACGTATCTCACATTCATTATATGAGAGCAATCTATCTTCAAAATTTGCATTAATGGAAATACAAGAGCTTCAATTAACTGCTGATTTAATGTTGACAGCATGTAAAATTGGCAGAACATTGATTGGTGTTGGTGTTAATCCTAACAGTAATATGGGTCTTGCAGTAATTAATTTGGGAATATGTAATTTGCCACCTACATTTAGGACTGATGTAGCAAACAAAATGTTAGCTCATATAGAACAGTATAAAGGTTCATGGTTACAAAGGCATTTACCCCAGGGCCTTCAAAGCTCTGTACTAGTTTTAACTAGCGCTTTGCATAGGTTTGTGCCAGAAACATAATTTGTTGAGCTTTGAAAATATATAAATATAATTCATATAAGCATCTAAAATGAATATCAGTTCCTGCTAGAAAAGACTGCAGGTTATATGTATAATGTGCTGAAAGCAATTATGTAAAGAGCTTATGAATGTTCCTTTATAAGAAAACTTATTCATACGTATTAGCGTAATATGATACATCATTCCACTTACTTTAAATATGATTTTCACTGTTCTTAATTGAACAGTTCTTGTTACAATGGTTTCTTTTATTTATGTAAATGTGATTTATATACTAAGGGAACATTCTCAAGGTCTAATAAAATGTTCATATAATATTGTTTTCACCAATTTATAATATGAAAAGTGATAATTACAAATATAGAATTAGGTTCATTAAATAATTGTATTTAGTAGTAATGTATATGCTTTCAAATCATTATATACATATTATACAAGATTTCAGTGGTAGAATTGGTATTAAAAATTTATGTATAAAAGTATTTTAATACTAAATGTTTCTAAAATAAGAAAATTTTTGTACACTATGAATCCTTTATATTCATACATAACAATTTACAGTAATATTTCTACTGTATTAAATAGTATTTTAGTTAGTATACAATTTCAAATAATATGAAATTTATAGTATTGTTAAGTTTTTCATAAGATAACATTTGTATATTTACATGTTTATAATATTAATTTGTGTTAATCAAGTGTAATATGTTTTCATATTTTTTAAATCTTTTATACCATTAAATACAAATGTACGAAAATTAAAGTACCATAGGTATTTTTAAAAATGACATTTTTTATGTGTAATATTTAAATAAATGATTATCATTCATAAAATATTTAACACTGAAAAAACTTAGACATTTTACCAATATTTGTAATATTAAATTATAAAATATACTTTGTTAATACAAAATGAATAATTTAGTGAATAAATATTACGAAGCATAATTTAATCATGAATTCAATGTATATTATCCACAAGATTATTTTTGTTGTGTTCATTCCACCCACCCATTTCTAAGTCCTGTTTATGTGATATCTCATTTTCAAGATTTTGAAGTCTATAGAATTCATCAATTTCAAATTGATACTTGGGTGCTGTAATACCAAAAAGGTTAGCTAACCATTCACCTACATAGTCACATCCATCCAGTACTTTGCTACCAAGTACAGTAGTTTGATACCAAGCCCAGGGAAACCAAGTTAGAGTTTTCTAAAAATTTTATTTTTTAATTTAATATATAATTTATTTTGTTACTTAGAAAATATAGAAAATTGTTGTAATAATAGATATGAACAAAACTTAACTGGATCTATTTGATTTACTATTTCATTTACTTGTGGTTTATCAGTTTCATCTTCAGAATATTCTTCTAAATCACCATCCGAAAAATGTAATACTCGTTTTGGTCGTTTTTGTGATTTACAATCCTAAAATTATTTTGTATTTCAATACAAATAAAATTTGGACATATCTATATTTTTTTAACATTAGATTACTTGTAGATTAATATTGACATTTTCGTTTAAAACAACTTCAGATAAATCACAAGATTCATTTTTTTGTGGATCCATAATCGATAGTTTAATTATTTATAAAATATAAGCCTTATGTTAAATTCTTGACAAACACATTGACAGATTTCATTTACGATGTAAACTAATCAACAATAGGTGGTTCGTACTTATATGAGTCATGTGTACTTGAAGACTATTGGTAACTAAATTAGAAAATATTTTACATGATGTAAATAAAAGGATAAATTAAATATTTTATATGAGATACAATAAATTATAAATTTTTTTCTGTTTTTTCGATAGAGTCAAGAAAATGTAGCGCTTATATTTTTATATTCAGTTTGTAAGCATATTATAAAGTATTACTTTAAAGGAATATAGTATGCACATAAAAAAGGAGGTACTCATAATTATTTTATAATATAATACAATTTAAAATATTACATGGTAATATGTATATGTTATTATTTACTAATAGATATTTATACGGCATAGATGAGATACATTATAGATCAAACAACTTATGGGATATTATGTCACACGAACTGTATTATCGATTGTGAAGAATCTGAAATATGTTACATCCAATATAATTTTCATTCAAGAATTCAATTAAAAAATTAGCAAATCTAAAATAATTCTCTTTTGTTATATCCATGGAAAAGGCATTATATAAAATGAATCATCTACTGATAAAAATTTATATACTAATATTTTTCATTATATGTTTGATTATACCTTTGCTTGTTTTGAATAAACACAATAACACTTCTAAATATATTAGTATAAATGTAAACATATATGAAAACTAAGCTATTAAACCTTTTACCAGTATATATATTTAATGTGAAATATAAGCATGTTATGTAAAAGGACAAAAGTTCCTTTAAAATTTTTTATTGACCTCGTTGTTTAGATTCAATATAATTTCTAAAATTTCTGCCCTAAATTGTAGAGGGCGTAAAAAAATACTAATTTTTATCAAGATCGATACTTCGGTATGAAAGTTCTATAAGATGTTACGTCTACACCATATTTCGTTTATGGTAACCGCTTGATCTTTGATTTTAATCGATGGAAAACAAAAACGCGAATAGAGATGAAAAAAGAAGAAAAAAAAAGAATATTAGAGTGTAAAATGTACGTTACGTGCATGAAGTAACAATGCATAAGGTACATCGATAAGGCGAATAGCGTGGATCGGCTGCGTTTGTGTCGCAGTGCTATAAGTAATGACGCTTCAGGTCTGAGGTTCGCGCTTGGTCACCGTGGTGACGGTTACTTGATACTTCATGGTGATATTTTTTTTTAATTTATATTAATAACACCTTTGTTCATGTTATTAAAGTGATTTCTGTTGATAAATTTGTGATGGCACAGACGCTTGTCTGTTTACGATACTTTCTCATCGGTGGTGCTATCGTTGTTGGAGTAAGTGCATATTTGCTACCCTGTTTCTACCAATACTATTGTTTATATTATATTAGAGAAAATTTATTTTATTCCAGTCCCCTTACACGAAAGAAATGATACTACCTTTTTCGACGTTCTATTATTAAGAGTTTAGCAGTCAGTAACCAGTTTCCGATTTGTCGCGGAGTTGGATATCCGCCAACTTATGTTAGCTTGTTCTTTTAGGCATCTTAGTATTCTGCTTTTTGAATATTACTTTTTCTTTTTTTGTTAAAATACACCAATTGTATGTTTCCTAAGATCAATGCGATCGAAATTATTCATTTTATTCCCTATTAATTAATTAGTAAGAGTTAAGAAGTACAAATTAATAGTTTTATTATAAATTCGAAGATTTACGTAATTCAAAGTTTGTACATGGAAACACATCATTTTTTTGTATTTTATAGATAATCTTTTCTCTGTTTGTCTTCGATATCGACATCATGTATTCAATGATAAATCGTGTTATAGATTAATATTCGTATAATAAGCGCTTCGTTTCGTATTAGTGTTAGGGGATGCATACCTACACATTTATATAGTACAATATTGCCGTAGTATATAAATATTATTTGAAAAAATTGATTCTTTATCAAATTTAATTAAGGGTATTACAGGCTTGATTATTATTATTTAGGACTTCTAAATAAATAATGTAATACACTATCCGTCATCATATCGTTAAACAACATAATTAATTGCAATGTAATTTGGGTATTGATAATCCTGATATTATCGGTAAGTGTTAGTTTATGAGAAAGAAGCGCCGCGGAAAATATTTTCCAGTAATAAATAAACACACTGTTATTTGATTGTCAATATCGATTTATATATTTATATATTAATATTATTATAACATTTATATATTATATATTTCTATGGAAAAATTGAAATTCGTAATTTACTGGATAGTTATATAGAAACTCGAAGTTTATTATCATTCTCTTAAATCTTCAATCTCATTTACTACAGACGACATCAAGATTAGATATAATTAATCTTCGTTTATCACTTATGTTAGTATATGTTATCACCATAAAATATATTGTATTCTACATATACGAAAATGTTGTAATCTTTTTTTTTTATTCTTCATAGGTGTGTGGTGTAATAGAAAGTGTTTGCGCTGGTTATTTCATATATCAGTTATATGAATATTCACCCCTCACCCCTAGCAATGTATGTGGTTCAACAATAACGCTACTCGTGATGGGTCTGATAACGTGTATGATAGCCTGGTGTGCTTGGCAATTCCTAGATTTTACGAATAGGGGCCAAGTTATGATTGTAAGAAATTTTAAATCATTTTTTTTTAATTATCATCCATTAATATACAATTATCAGATTATATTAAATTACACGTGTCTTTTTTTATGGTAACTTCCTTGGAATGTATGTCTACGTTCAATTATTATTTCGATTTTGCATTGTTCGATATAATTTCCTTCCTTATCTATTTCCGATAAAGTAACATTTTTTCCATTTAGTTTTCCATAGCGCTGATAATTGTTACGATTCTGAACACGAGCGCTGGTATTTGGGCCCTTGTTAGACATGAACAAGTGGATTTATTACCAATCTCGCATCTGGAACACGCATTTGAACTTGCCATGTCAGATGATAAGTCTCTTTGGGATCGTATGCATTCAAAGGTACATTCAACTAATGAAAACTTGTAATGAATATTTTATATCATATATTTTAGACTTGTTCTTTTCTTAGTTACGTTGTTGTGGAATAAATGGTCCAGCTGATTATCGTAATCAAAATGCTGTTCCTTGGTCTTGCTGTGATATGTCGTCATTTACAAGCCCTAACGATGATAAAGGCATCTGTACAACAATGTATGCTCACGGTTGTCAGCATGTAGTAATGAATCGTACTAGATCGATTCTTCTACATATATTTTTACTTGCATTGTGTACAGTATTATTACAGGTATGAAATTGATTAATAAATTAATGATTGTAAGTAGATTTTAAAGTTTGAATGTAATGTTATTTTTAGGTATGCTTCATAACGTGCATGTCATGTTACGTAAGAGCGTGTCGGGAAAGGATGGCGAGAAGAAAGGAGTTGATGGTCGTTGCTCAATCATTCGCGCGAACGTCTAAGGATTTAGGAACAGATGATAGTCTTTTAAATCAACAATCAAAGTATTCCAAAGCATCAAATGATGTTTAACGATTGATTATTTTATTACGATCAAAACAGTCACATTTTCGTGCTATTCATACTTGTATCGCATTACACGTCTTTGTTTCAATCATTGGTATTTTTAAAAGAAAACTTTACTTATTGTTAATTTCCTTATTTCAATATGTTTCTTTATTTAGAAATATTGTTTATATCGTACATGTCAAACGCATACATTTTTAATATTAATATACATGTCAATGATGTATATTACACAATATGATGAAAAATTTTATGCCAAAAATATTGTGCCATCTTATGAAGTATAACAAATACAAAGTTCCTTAGTTGAAAGACTTAATGCAATTGACTATAAATAAATGAATGATAGTTACAGAAAAATCGAGTTATCAAATGTCATTAATATGTTAAGAGGGAATACAATTTAAATATATCATTAAATTTATATTTATACTAAGAGTGTGAGTGACATTTAACTTAAAAATATAATACATATATTAATACAAGATAAAATTAATTTTTGTAATATAATCAATTTTTGTAATATACTATGACCAAAATAAATATTTATAATATAAGTATAATTAAATTCAGCCTTTCTGAATATCATATATAAATATTATGAAATTAAATTAATCTCTAGTTTTTAGTTATAATATGGAAATGATTATTACTGAAAGTTTCTTAAATTAGATGTTAATCAATACAATATTCAAAATTTTTTAACAACAAAATGATATTAAATTTATCGACGAATTTGGTATTTTATATTACATTTGTTTTATTTTACCCACACTATCTAATACAATATGAAGTTTACAAAGAAATTTATTTAATCTATCTAGATAAAGACGGGTGCGGCGCTATTGCGCTTTGCAACTGGAACTGGTTTCAGTTGTCGTTTCAGTTGAACGCGAGACGTTGGTGTCGCAGTTATTGTTCGTGGCATCTCTAACCTAACCTGTTGAGCTTCATTTTACGCGTCTTCTGAATAACTTCTAACATTTTAACGAATTTGTTTTCCTGAAATAGAAGTTACTGAATAGAAAAAACTACGAAGATGGGTTGCGGAATGGGAACGATAAAATATCTACTCTTCATATTTAATTTTATCTTTGCGGTTAGTATTAGTATTAATTTAATTTATCTGTACAGTTTATTCTACTTGTTTGTAACGAAATATTTGATCTACATTTAGTAATTTTGAAATGTATTAGCATTTAATATAAAATAATTAATGAAATGACAAATTTATTTACTGTAGTGTCTAAAGCGAATGCTGAAATTTATGAATGGGTGTTTACTTTAAAAATATTATCATTATTTCTAAAGTTATTAGTAATTTTCTAAAGAAAATAATATAGTCTGTCATTTCACCATATGGCACAAATAGCTTTTGCGCTGTATTTAATTTGTATCGAGTAATCAATTCACGTGTTATTTTTAAATGTAAATTGATAAATGACCCTCCTATGATTTTATTTAACAATATACTTAAACTACTTTTTATCATTAAAGTACTTTTTGTTTTATGATTCTTTATTATCATGTTATGAGAGGTTAATTTATTGCAAAATTATAGCGAATTCCACGCATGAATTCAGTTTTATTTAACAATTTTCGACTTTAATATCAGTATTTTCATTTTGGCTTTTCCGTTAATATTCATATATTAAATTATAATATTAATTATTATGGTGCTTGAAATATAAAGATAACAATGAGGGCTGGGTCACAGATAATAAATCAGTATTTGTATATAGTTTTACGCATATTTGTTTAAACAGACGCCATCGATAGGTCGTGAGTCATACGATAAGAAGAATTCGTTGTGCTTAAAAAATTCATATACTTTCGTGAGTTGACATTGCTAAATGGTGTTTATGTATTATGCACAGAAAGTTTAATTTCTTGAATTCGAATATATTTGTATGCCAAAGGTCAATTTACATAATTACATATTTTGTATTTCTTTGATTGAAATTTTTCTAGTTACAAGTAATGTCAATATTAATTAAAAATAGTTATGAAAATTGAACGAAAAAAGTGTAATGTGTATTTCTTTTCAACTATTAAATAATCAATGCAAAACTTCTAGTTGTGATTCTATGATTCATTCTTCTCTATCTAGTTTGCCTGGATTATATAGTTGACATACATAGAACGGCGATGTCGTTAATTTTTTCTATAATTTAATCCTTTGTGCTTAAAGCTGAGTTACTGAGTTAAAATTAATTGTTCCGGAGAGAAGTTCTATATCTTCTATATACACATTCTATATGCATTTCATATTATACATTTAGCAGTTTGGAAAATGATTTCTTGTAAAAAATTGTCAATGGAGCTGCAGTATCTGTAAACTTGCGAAACTCTGAACTCTTGTTGTCTTTTCATTATCAGGATTTTACGATTCCATGTCGTAAGGCCGTAACGACCGGTTTTTCTCTTTTTCGTTTTTTATAATACATTAACACAAGTACCTGTGCATGTGGGCGACGTTAAGAAATTCCATTCCCTACAAGTGACGTACACGCGAACGATTGGTTGTCAGGAAATCCCGAATGATTGTGAGTTCTGTTCGTATGGAAGAGAGAGTGAGAGAGAAAGAGAGAACGAGGATACTGTTCCTCCCGTGTTTCGGTGAACACACTAGTCGTCGAGTTTTGAGTATCTACCCTACCCTCGTCTCATAAAATTTAGATGTGTCGCTACGATCGTCTCTACGACAGTTCATGTGTTTTTATTTTTTTGACCGTGTCATTTTCAATTTTATGTAGACGAGTCGATATCAAGCAGTGAGAAAAATGTCGATGAGTTGTACCTCTCAGTGTATTAAATACTTGCTTTTTGTTTTTAATTTCATCTTTGCGGTAAGTTGTTGATTAATTTCTTCTTCGGAATTAAGATCGTAGAACCAGAATTTGAGGTTCTAAACTGTTTTACCTATCGAACTGTGTGAGCCGTAGATAGTTTTCTTCTCACTTAAATTTAATATCAGAATAGAAACGGTTTTTAATGTAAAATATTTAACGTTCCTGCTAAGGTTATTATCACCAATAGATTTAATCGTTGATACGCGTTCGTTTTTATGCAAAATCGAGTGAAAGAAAGTTGGAACAGGGTCTTAGGGTATTAGAAAGGAAAAAGCATAGTCAAATATTTAACCTTTAAGACGACATGACTAACGTAGTGGTCCGGCGAAGTTTATATGCTTTTACGATAAAACTGCGTCATTTCTTCACGGTCAGAGGGGAACTGGAAGTAATTCTGCTCTAAATTACCCGTTTTATTCAAGGTTCTGTTGTGTTGCAGTATCCTTGAGGTTTTATGGTCGCGAAGAACGTATCTTTATATTTCGTCTCCAAACATATATATGTATACAATACCACAATAACGCGTACTCATAAATATTGTTTTATTATTACACACATCTTACGTTGAAAACTTAATTTTCACGCTTTCAGTACTACGTGAATCTAAAGCACATGTTTCATAAAGTTCGTGAAAATGGCGATTAAACATAGCGAAAAGTTAAAGTGATTAAACTGTGATACGTAATGTAAATAAGATTTCTTGCAAAATGAATCGTTTTGTGATTTTTTTAACCAGGAGAATTGTATCGAGTTTCCTGCATTGTGAATCATGTCATTAAGAATTTACGCATTCGTGGAATACCCTAGCATGAATCTAAATTTTGACCATTATTGAATTCAACGCTACACGGTGTTCGCGTGTGATGCTGAGTAATCTCGCAATTTACATTGCGCCATTTTCTAGAGATCGAGGAATCGTGCTAATTTTTCGACGTTGTTTCGTTTTTCGTTTCTTCCATTTTCATTAACCTTGATTGACACAATAACACTGGTATTTACTTGAACGTTCATTCCTGTTGCTATTGGTCTGTGTATTAACAGTACCGTGTATTATCTTTCTGGAAATAATATAGTTCCTGTTGTACGTAATAACGAGTGTTAGAATAATGAAACTCCTTTGTGTCCGATTCCTTTACATAACTTGCTAATTTCAAACGTACTTCGGGTATTCGTTATATCACGTACAACAGCTAAATATACAATCGTGTCGACACGTTTCCTTTTCCGCCTTTAGTTATCGTGTAACAATACAACGTTGTAGATAAATTCACTGCTAAGCAAGATAAATTTTTCATTCTGTAGAACATGATCAGAATTTGGCACGGGAAGCTATAATTGGCGCATATGTAGAACGAATACCGGGCTGACCAAGGCTATGTTCAAGAAAACACTTTTAAATTTATTTTTCGATTAGAAATTACTTTTCGTTAAATTTGAAATTTGAATATCGTTTTTATTAAAATATATGTTATTAACATTTTCGAACTGGATTTGACATAAAGGTTTTGTTACTCGAACTAAAAATTCAAGGAATAAGAATCGGATGATTAAAAATTTCAGTATAATATTGGAGAATGCTTAGAATGAAACCTTTCCTATTACAGTATCTTCAAAAATTACTCAAACTGTCTTCCATATTTAATTCGCGTTGTCCTTTACGCGTCTTGCAGGCAAATGGAAAGAATTAACCAGTCTTATTCTTAGGCTGAAATAACTCGATCTTTGCCATGTGTGTCGAGTAATCACTGTACTCGATTAACCTATCCAGAGTATGGTTGGCTGACAAATTCGAATCGGATGCATCCTATCAAAGAGAGCTTAACTGCAATTTCGTTTCCTCAATTACTTAATCAACAATTCGTCAGAGGTAGTAAAAAAAGAGATGGTTCATTTATAAAGAGAGTTTGTATTATTTATTACTTAACAATTAACATATTACATCTACTCGTACCTTATTCGCATTATTCATCATGTACCGCGTTGAACGTTGCGTTATTCGAATAATTACAGTATTAGCTGAGCCACAGAAATTTTGCAACATTTTGCTAAAGCTTATTCGAGGAATCGAGTTATTTGGAAAAAGATTGTGGTAACAAGATAGCGACTGAAAGCGCGATAAGTATGATTCCCGTAAGTTAGGAGAAGCGTATTTTCGATGTATTCGTGAAACATGAGGATCAATTTAATTTGTGAAGATACAGATCGCCAGAGCAGATAAATACACATATGATTTTAGTGTTTCTAAGAATAGCGATAAAAAGTATCGATCATGCGATGAAATGTAATCGGTATTTCTTGTAATCTATCACACGTTTCTTTGAACAATTATGTCACGTTTCATTATACACTTTGTTATTGTGAGATTTATGCCACGTCAGTAAGTTTTTACGGAAACAAGGTTGAGTCATCCGCATTTGGTGCGTTCCGGTTATTTTGCACGCAGACTCAACAATGGTGGCCCCATGAGCGCGCGACTTTTAAAGATTTTTCAAGGCTTCGATGTTTTCGAACCGTGAACTGGTATTGTACGGTAGGTTATGGCAGTGTGAAAGTCTTCACGAACCAGTTTCCAGTTGACATCATATGGTTTTGACGCATCTTTCATTTATCCCTTACTATTATCAAATTTCTGTTTCGACGCTGAAAATATGTATTCAACACATTTCTACTATGTTTAGGCACGTTTCCAAGAGTTATAAGCACTTGTTATCGTTTCCTTCTTTAGTTCGACATTCGGAAAAATGTATTCCGTGAAAATGTGCGAAATCTTTTTTCTCGACAATAGGTAATATCACTGGCAGTATTTATGGTTTAACCAATTGATTGATTTTGTGGTTTCACAATGCTGCTTTCACCGCCTATACTTTCTTAGAAATAATAATGATAAACGCAGGCTAACGTCAGTCAAAACAGCTTACTCATTTCTACTTTGACTAAGGGCCAATTCCTCATGTTCATCCGGTCCAGAAACTAAAAATATATATAAGCATCTCCGAACATTATACAGGGTCAGTTCCTTCTCCGCCGATACATACTACGTTATTGTATTTTTCGACATAGCCTCGTTGTAAAATTCGCATTGCAAATAGAAACGTTCTGAAGAATATTAAAGAGATTAATTGGTTTACAATCTTCTTTATCTAGTTGACTGCAATTTGCAGAGATTGCGAAATAATCGCAGGTTATAGTACGAAAAGATTCACTGTCGTCTAATGAAGTGACCTTCCGATATTAATTAATAGCAATAACATGTCAATCCGCAGTGTTCACTGAAACCATTAATACTCATAATAGTTCTAAGTGCAAGCATAAACCTATCTGAATTGATTTATACACTTATAAACGGATCATTACTAACGCTGGTGTATCTCTTTAATGAAGATAGGTAGACGGATTTATAAATATATATTTATCGAGTAATATACAGATCCGTTCGAGTCCTCAAGCTGTTTCTTTTAATTTCTTCAATAAATTATTTGAATCATTAAGTACATTCTTGATATGCTATCACAAAATGATTCGTGTTACGCTGTATTTCACATTTTTCGTTAAATCGTTGATTACGATTATTCTTGAGTATCGATTACGTTCACATTGATTTCCCGTAAGTGTTTTGTCAAGGAATCCACTTGAAATTATTTGTTCGAAAATATCAACGTACATCGTGGCATAACTGAGTAACGAAAGTTACGATTTCCATTTAGAAAGTACAAATTGCTCGTCATTGCCTGCGGCTTCAGCGACCTTGAATCTTCATTGAAAAAATTCAGGACTTTTAGACGCTCGTAAAACACTTTGATTCGTATGGTGAATTTCCAGCTGAGAGAACATTCAGTTCAGACAAAGTCAATGGGTCGAATATAGATCTCCATCGGTAGACGTATGTTACTTTACAGGAAGTCAGTGCCGAGGTGTACGTTGAATAGGAATGATGTCATCTAGTTTAGACGATCATATATTTACATTCTTCGCGTACGAGTATGTTATCATGAGTACAAAGCATATTGTGCATGGACGAATCATCTTGATGTAACTAGAGAATTCTTGTGTTTATCTTGTTTGTTATAGCAAGTTACTCTTGGATACCTTGAAACGACAATTAATTATAGCAAATACAGATAATCTTATTAGATACATTTACTTGTTAATTCGAAGGTCATAAATTGGCGAAATCTGTAATAGATCAGCAGTTAAGGACCAAATCGAAGGAGTTTCCCAGGGACAATGAATATTTATTTCCATGCTGACGCATAAGATGCCTGTACGCATGCGTGCAGATTGAATTTAATGCAATAGTAACAATAGCTTCGTGAAAATATCTCGGATACTAAGACGAGCACTGGTTATATGCATCGGGAAAAGTCGTTGGAAATGTCGGTTTCTACAACATATTTAAAAATCATTTAATTCGGAAATACCAAATTTTCCTCTTAATAAATGACGTCATGCATATTCTTATATACATACCCATACATACGTTTACACTTCTTATGCGAATAGCTCGTATAGGTTTTCAGCTTTGCGAGGATATGTGTTACACGATAGGAAAACTTGTACGACAAAGTAACCTAAAAACTGCAACCTGAATCAGAGCGCCATAAGTCGCGAAACTATGGCACACGAATTAAAGGCAGATTTCAAATGATAAATTCACGTCACGTTCTAATATCGAGGGACACACATTCGCACATGTCTCGCTCTCAGCATCGATCATATTAGTTTCGAATGTATGCGAGGCACGGAGAAAATATACTGCTATAAAGTGTCAAGGATACGGCGTACGATGTATTGGTATGCAATTGGCTTTACTTAAGCGAGTATTTCCAATTGATCTGTTTGCACCCATGAAATATTCCATCGTTTTAACGATTAATGCGGTAGAAATTGCAGAACGTAAATTTTAGTTGATTGTAAATATGTCAGACTTACCTACTGAGCTTGACGCAGACAATATGGCGCGAATTTTTAAATCTACTCGCAGTCTAGTGATTCCTAAAAAGTCTTATAATTAAATATCGTTGAAGCAACTGTTAGTATTTCTCGTTTAATTTTAGTACTGTAAGAAGCCTTTTATCTGATTTAGATGTTACGACTATCGGTGATATTTTCACACATTTAATCTAAACGAAACATCGAGTAATCGCAATTTTCTTGAAACATTTTTAGTGTTATTTTATCATTTTGTTTTCCACCTTTTATCAATTATTCTGTTTCTTTGTATTGTTGACCGATATCTCATCGTTTACAATCGTTTGCGATTGATAAACTCCCGTTAAGATTTTACTACTGTTTTTGTAATGTTTTTATAACGGGTAATAAGATTTCCTGTAAACTTCTGATCATATCATAATCGATGATATATTCGAGGAAATTAATAGCCCTATCGATTGTTTTCTACTTTAATTCCAAGAAAGCTAACTTCAGAGATGAGTTTTAGCTTGTATGATAACATGATTCTATGAAAGGTTATTACAGTTATCCGATTAAGTGCAAATACTCGTGTCAGTCAAGATTTGTATCGGTATAATCATAAAAGTAATGACATGCAAGATTGTATTATAATGCTTAGGCATATTAACAGGTGGATTACCTGTTCGTTGGATGAAAAACGTCAGTGTCGAATAGATAACATCATTATTGATCTTGTTTTATCGATGAGTCATTTGAAATGAATAGGACATTTTCCTGGTGTAGATAACATGCTCCAATATTAAATATTATAAAAAAGCGAAATTTTGAAATTTATAATTTCCGGCATCGTTTAATTCGTATAAATTTTATTTATACGTATAATTTTATAAATTTACAAGTGGTATGGAATGGTGATGATTTTATTAGGACTTTATTGATAATTCAACATTTTGTGAAGATAGAATTTATTGAAAAGTAAAATTATCAACGAAATGTTTATAAATAATATATCTTTATTTTTCGCGCAATAATATTCAATTTATTTTTGCAACTTAGTCAGTGAAGTATATATTTCGTTGGAAAAATTCTCGTTTAGTTTTCGGGATCTATTCTTTGTTAGAAGTCCGTTGAACCACCTGGCTTGCACCTGGAACATGACATAAATTCACCTTCGGCCATTTGTAATCGCGTTCCGAGATCGGTGTACCATTTACAGCATGTTCAGTGCCAACCGGTTAATATTGTGCAATGTGATGTAATAAGTTGCAGTCTTAGCCTTCAATCGGAATCTTATATATAGCAACTTGATAATCGAACCGATTGAAAGTTATATAGTGGATAATTGAAATACTTTATTATACGTTATTAAGTAATTCTTTAATGGATATATTTTACAAGTATTTTGTTTATTATATTCATTCTTTTAATCGAAACTGTTATCTGTTGCAGGTATGTGGATTAGGCATTCTAGCCCTTGGTGTCGTCGTACACTTGCAGATGGCAGATGTAAATGCACAGATAAATGTAAATACCACGTTCCCATCGATAACTTTGATGGTTCTCGGCAGCATAATCTTTGTAATATCATTTTTCGGATGTTGCGGTGCTATCCGGGAAAGTCATTGTATGACAATTACCGTAAGTATTAGCAATTTGAATGTCGCTTAATATTTAGATAGAACGGGCTTTATCCATCTTTTGTTTTTAGTTTGCGTCGTGCCTGTTGTTCATCTTGCTGCTACAAATAGCAGTTGCCGCCTATGCCTTCATAGTTGTTAAGAACAGTGATGAGAATATTGATTTAAATTACCGGAAAATATTCGATACTTACTTTTTGAATGAAAAAAACCGTGAACTTATCGACTTAATTCAAAACAGCGTAAGTACTTTTATTCGTTTTATTTTTATGCGTTATTTTACAATATCATTTCCTCTATAATTCGAGTGATTAAATGGGTACTTTTAAAAATGAACTTTGGAGTGAGAAAAAAAAATTTTTAAATTTGATTTTGTTAAAAAATGATTTATCAAATTTCAAATAATTTTTTTTAGTTGAAATGTTGTGGTGTCTCGTCTTACCATGATTTTGATGGCCGTGGCTCTATTCCGGCAAGTTGTTGTTCTAGTTCTACAGGAGACACTTGTAGTGCAAGTAATGCGTACACCGATGGTTGTGTGAAGCAAATAAAATTGACACTTACGACAATAGGAGTATTATTTGGCAGCGTTGCTATCGCTGTTGCCGGCGTTGAGGTAAGTTTGTTATTCACTGATGCATTATTTATAAATTTTTAATCGTTATTAAAATACTTAATAAATATTGTGCTAGCTACAAAAATCTTTTTATACGCGTGTGAAATATATTCTTAATGTACGATATCAATATATAAAATCTATATGTACACTGTATTATGTTTCAGTTGATTGGTATCATATTTGCACTTTGTCTGGCAAATTCTATAAAGAATGCTGATCGCAGAGGTTACAGAGTGTGAAAGTTCAACAGACATTGAAAGAAGTACATACTAAAAGTAAAAATAAAAAATAATGTCACAGATAACACTATCAATTAATAATTTGATATTAAAACGTAATGGAAGATACAATTATCCTACTGAAACAAATTTAGACAATTTTATAAATGTTGGATTGATGAATGAGAGGAAAGTACCTTTTACTTTAATTTGAAACACAGTTTTTGTTTGAATTTTTACTTTGATATATAATATTGAATGTATAAATATATTATTTAGTATATTTTTAATTTTGGTATATTTATGTTAAATTAGATTTATATGTTTCATTTACGACAAATAAAATAATTAAAATAATGATAATTTGTCGATAATAATGATAATAATAATAATATTTGGGGCAAAATGTTTTTAGAGGCTTAATAAGTTTCATATATGTTACTTCATATATTAAAGCTTCTGTCTTAACATTTAGTGTGTCATTTTTGATGTCATGATTAGTAAAGATTATTAGCAGTGATTAGAATATCAATTTTTTTTAAAAGCTCTTTTAAATTTGTTAAATTAAATCTTATAAAATATTCTGGTTATGAAAAATTAAATCATAGTGCATTATATAGCTTTGTGAATATTTATAGGAAAGTATTTTTATAATAATGTTTTCATAAGTATTACACATTGCTTGCTTTTATAAAATACAACTTATATTGTTATTTGTACAGCATACATTCACTATACTTTTCAAAAAATACTGTTAAATTATATTTCTCTCGTAATAAAATTTATTTTATCTAAGTTTTCAAGGTTAATAACATACTTGTTGCCTTTTTGAAAAAAATTGTTCTTTTTGTGAAACTTCATATTACTATATTTTTGATTTTTGCATTACTATTTAGGTATTACAGCTATTTACATGCAAATGAAATGTTGATATCATTATTTAATGAAATTTTTGTCGATCTTAATGGACAATATGTTCGAATGGACTGTTATCAATAAAAATACCAATAATATTTTTATAGGAACGGTTTTCTAAATTGAACATCGAATATGCGCCTTTACATTCGTTATATTGTCGTTATTTATTAAGTTCAAGAGAGGATAACTTACATCTGTTGTGCTATAATACATACTATTTACAGTGTCCCAATCACGTTTTTATATTTATCAATGGATTTTTTTTCTTTCGATTGGGATACAGAATCAGTGCTTCAATAATCGCATTTTCGATATAATGCAACTTACACGTATCTTATAACTATCATTAAACGATTACTTCGAGACTGCAGGACAAAAGTTGTTTTCGTTTGGAACTTCTTCGTTGTAGTTATTAAATATTAAAATTAGTGATTTGATAAATCTCTATAATCATTAGATATAAACATGTTGTTTTCGAATATAATATGTATAGTTTTCTTTATTCATTTTCACATATAAACGACAAATAGATTATTTTTGCTTCACGTACATATATGGTTATAAGACATTGTGTGTAAAAATGTATTGATGGAAAAGACAACTTTGTATTCGTACAGTCTCCATTTCAAATATTGAAAATATTCATCGTGTTTAATATATATTATATATATTATATATACTATACATAATATATATAATATATATAATATACTATAATCGACTCGATATCTTAAACATTATACGGACTATTTTACTCCTAGTAATTTGACCAAACGCAAGTTAACCGTTTATCTCAAACATTACGTATTCTTGAAATAGTGTGAATCTTGTACAAATTATGATGAAGTATCTACTTGGTACAGCGTTTTGATCAGAGCGTTACTATTTTCCTGTTGCGAATTTTTATTTATGTTATTTCTATGGTCTATGATTCATGCACCGAGCATGTTAAATATATTTGTTTGAATTTGAATTTCCTCTATTTTTATCTTACAGTTGATAAATAATACATTCAATACATTTTCGTTGAAGATGGAACAGAAGGATATACGCACTTGTAGCGTACATGTAACACATGTTTCATATAAATAACAGGATATTACGGTGTCCTCAACGTTTATCAGTGGTCGTTGACGAGAAAGAGTACAAATTCCTATCAATATAAAATTGTCGAATACCCTTCTTATCCTAAATTTTTCTAAGCTCAATTTCGGAAGATGATGCGTGACATCATGTTACATTTAAATTATACGTTTCCATTTGAAAAGTGTAGAAACAGTTATTCTATCTAAATATTTCAAAGATACTATTTGTTCGCGATTTGTTGTAACTGATCTTTCAAATTTGTAGATCTTTTATGAAACTAAAATTTCATGTGCGTAAAAGATGTAAATATCATTAAGATCATGATGTCTGATAATCTTGTTAAACAAGATCATCAATGGAAGTACTATTTGAAATATTCAAATATACAGTGAAGTATAATCATAGTTCCAGTCTATGATATCTTTTTCATCACGATAATTCATATATACTGTACATATTACACTAATAGTGTTTAGACCACTTCTTACATAACGTTATTCATATTTTAATGTGTATATGCATATAGTAATTAATAATTCTACTTCCATCTTGTGGAAATTACAAATGAAATTCTTCAATGAACATTTTTGTGTAAAGCAAGTTCTTCATACATAAAACACGAGCACGACAGTAGTCTTTTAATGTAAAGTAAATAGTAATTAATACTATGTTATTAAATTTTGTTCACAAAAATTAAACAGTATATTTCACTTTGAAAGTATTTCAATAATAATCTATGCTCGCACTTAAACGTTTGTAGAAATCTTAATTTGTGGTATTCAAGATGCAAGTAGATACTGAATAAACAACATTCTTATTTTTAAGGAAATCAGTACTCTATTTACAGTTTCGAATATTTACGAATGTCATAACAAATAGTAAGTAGTTGGACATCAAAAAAAGACATACATCTTGAGAACCTCTGTCATAAATAGGCAAACAATACAATAATAGCTATATTTAATCACTTATTTCATTGGTCTATTTCATAATTTACTTTGTGCAGGAATATTTATTTGTTATTCAAAAAGGAGACATGATTTAAAATAATAAGAGTACAAAAAATTTGTTTTTAATATTTTCGAATTTTCTCTATATTTCATGGTATAGAAAATGAGTACATTATCGAAAGTTTGTGTTAAAGATTTTTCGAGTAATTTAACAAAAATAAATAGATATCGTCACAATAAAACTATACTGACCCTTAGCACAACACCCGTAGGATATATTGGTACAAGGAAAGCAACTTGTACCATTCTATCGAAATTATATGCAAATTACGATATGTGTAAAGAAGCATACGTACGACGTAACAAGAGTAATAAAAAGTCAATGTTATGATACAATTGATCTTCGTACATTTTAATTTGATGTACCTTTGATACAGATATCGGAACTTAACGCGGGCGCAACTGAAATTTACCGCGGTGTAAACTAAGCATGCGCAATGGTCTACAATTAAAACAGGACAGTTTGCCTATCCTTACAAGAGTTCTCATTTAACATGTAACTTTACGATAGACTTCTGGATCGAAGCTCATCCTAGAGCGGAGAAAGCTTCATGATATCACTACGAAGCTCAGCAGACGGTGTGTCATCCAGATCGATGAGACTAGTGTTCGAGCCTGTCGAAGAGGGCGCCACAATCTCGTCGAGGAAGTCAAAAGAGGCCACGGCTTCGCGCTCCTTATCTCCATATCGCACGAAGAAATCGTCACCTCGCCCGATAATCGACGGCCTCGAAGAACCCCAGGTTGACGGCAGTCGTAGCACACGATGTGCCTGGGCCGCCGATGCTGAGAAACCAAGCGCAGCGGGTCAACATGCCTCAGACCTCACTTGATCTCTTTTCTCTTTCTTCCTATACCGGCTCTAGCAGACACAGAGTAGCTCGGCTTAGCACTCTTACACGTATCACGTTCCTCTCTCTCTTTCTCTCCCTCACTCTCCATTATAGTATATATTTGCTATTCCTTTCTAGGCTCTGCCGTACATTGTCACGTGATCATCAGTTAACCTCTCTCAGGAATCGATGCTTTCATATGGAGAGCTTTGTGTATTGGCAAGTGTTCGATTTTTCATGCATAGCTTCGTGACAGCCAAACAGCATAGTTAGAGGTATGTATATTTTTATGAAATTGCACGTATTGGTAATATTTGCGAAGGTTGTTATGTAGTATTGTATTTTGACATGAAATTGATATTTATTTTATTACATTAATGTATGCAATATGATATTTGTCTGTCATGAGTAACTTGATATGGCCGAAACGAATGAAAGTGAAGTGTTTATGAAGATTATTATGTTAAAAGCTGATGTACTAGATATGTAAGGTTTATGTTATTCTTTGCCTTTTTTTCATACGATGACGAACAGGAGGATGATCAAAACAATAGAATATAATGGAAAAGTCGAACACCTGCCAATGACGCAAATTATTCAGAAGCGATATTTTCCAGAATGAGAGAGAAAGTAACTATTTTATGTAATCCTTGACGCAATTCCAGACGCATTGTTAATTTGGTACGACGACAGTGTATGATAAGTAATAGAACAATGGAAATATATTTACATTATAGCATCCAATTTTTAAGTACGAAAACGATATTCAAATACAATGTTTGTATTTCACCAACTGATCAATTATGGATCTGCGTTCAAATTTCACGCATACTTTGGTTACAAAATCATCTTATCACAATGAATATTATTCTATAGATAAAAAAAAAAAAAACAAAAAAAAAAGACATAAATAATTAAGCAATAGTGTATTAACACATTACGGACAAACCTTCCACGAAAACTTGTATACAATTTTTATTACCAAGTTCTCAAAATAATAAAACATAAAATATATAAGAGGTATGCAATATCTTGAAATATTATATCGTTCGTAATGTGTTAACCGTGAAATCGGAATTTATTAAATATATATCAGATTTTAATTCGGCTAATAGTAGAAGGTGGAATTGCGTAAAGGTGACTCGTAACAAATTTGTTCTAACGTCTTCTGGTTAATGATCTGTTAGTAAGCCAATAGAAAATCCGTTGTAGCCGTACAGTTCACGTTGGATCAGGCCAAAATAGGTCCCGGTGAAACGATTCCTCCAAACTGGCATGTCGGTTACAGAAACTGATCGTCACTAAGCCGAACTACGTAGCTTTTCTTGTGACAATCAAAGCACACCGCGTAGGAGCTACCATCTGAACAGAAAACGTGGAAAAGGCTATGTACAGCGAGGGCTACCAGCGTTCGTGTTCTTGTTCCGTTTTCTTTTGTAACTGTACAGTGACGGGGTGTTAATCGACCAAAGACACTTAACAGCGTGACGTGTTAACGCGTATTGTTGATGTCAGAACACACGCTAATATACTTTCCATTGCTAAAATTTAAAACGATAAAAGGGGAATTATTATTTTACTTTTCTTTGGTTCATTCAAAATACATTTTCACTTTTTAACGAATACATCTTGCGTCAAATTACATTGCTTGACTTGTTAAGTACAGTAGCGTGATTTTTCATATTGTTAATAATGTTATTTCGAGTATGACAAGCAGAAGCAATTCATTTTTTCGTAATGCATTCTCAGGAGTTGAAACATGTTCGTTCTTTTACGAGAGCTAGAAGAAACGACAAGGTTGAAAGAGTTTGGTCGAGATTTAAGTTTTCAAATCTTCCGTTTTAATAACTTTTGTGTCTGTCGAATTATATCGTGTGAAGCGGAAGGTACAGTTTATAGGTAGGAGAAAGTATCTCAGAGTGATGTGCAAGATTGGACAAGAAGATATTCTACTAAGAAATTGTTAATAAATACCTTTCTTTTGTCGTCGGTATCGATGTAGTCTATGCAAGTGACGGTAATCCGGTGGTTCATCCCCCGAGTCACTTCCGGCTGATCCGCTGCTCGATGTCGCCGAAGAACTTTCACTGCTTTCTAGCATCACGTCTAAAAGATTGGCTCTTGCCTAGGGAAACGTGGATTTTATTAGAAAAAGTTGATCGTGCTTTTATACATTTATACGATTCATGATTTTCCAAGTAAAATCATTTCGTTGATCTTTTTCGCGATCTCTACTCACTTTTGGGTCGGTAAAGTCAATTTCTCGTTCAACGTGAACCCATCCAGTCGGACAGCAGCAAGCGAGATCCAATTTTTCGAGCGGCACCTGGGAATCTTGGTTGACTGGGTGTTCTTCCCCCTTTCTGATCATTCGATTCAACTCGTCTATCACGTCCTTTGACGTGGCACGTTCGTGAAAGCTCAGCGATCGGTCTCTACCTTCGACTAGTAGCGGGGCTCTTGCTGGACTTACCTAATCGAAATATAACGTCGATATACTTCTAAAAAAGGCGACGATAAAACTGAATTCTTAAGAAAGAGTATATTTGACTAAAGGAATTCTGGAAACGCAAGAAAGAAAAGATAACGGAAAATGTAACTTTATCTCGTAATGTGATCTCCTCATTGAAATCGTTAACGAACTTACAACCGTGCTTGGCGTGGAGGAAGTAGCAGCTTCCTCGTCTTCTTCAGGAACAGCACCCAATTCAGATGGCGCGACTGTGGTATACGAGACACCACCATTACAAGCTACCGCGCTGATTATTCTCTCCTCCGGTGCTAGGGAGGGTACAGGTATCTGATCCAGCAAATCGTCGTTACTGCTCGTTTCAACAGCGTTTTCCGTGTTGCTGTTATCTTGATCGACAGACGTTTCTATTTCGGTGCACGTCGCCTCGGTTCCAGATTCATCCTTGTTTTCGGTTTCCTCTAGAACTTTTTACACGAAGTTCAACTTTAATCCAGGTTCCAAAGGATTTTATTATACTTTTTTTTTTTTTTTTTTTAAGTCAATTAACGTTTTTAAAAACTTTTTTTTGTAAGGTCTCTTTTGCCTAGAATTATAATATTATCTTTATACGTTACGATAGGCGAAGTTGGACGTAAGTTTTGGCGTAAAGCAAAATACAGCGATAAGATACAAGTATAAAAGACGTATACCTTCCGCTGCGAGAGTCGTAGTGTTATGTTCTAGCAGATTGTTTGGTAATTCGGCCAAGTACATTTGTTGTTCGGCGATAAAAGACAGTACGCTTTGCAAAGCTTGATCCCTATCCGGCGGTGGTCTTCCGCTTCTCGACGATGTGCTTGCCAAGCTCTTTGTACTCTCGAACTTTACTAGTCTGTAGAAATCTCTGGTGAAGTCGGTGCCAATGGAAGGAGAGTCTGGATCGTCGCTGCAGCCGGATAACGCCGCCGAAGATCGTTTGCTGGAATTTTCAAATGCTCCTTCCTCGCTGCTCCAGGAAGCACCGGGACTTGTAGCGTATGGCCATGATCCAGACGCCCGGGCATCCATGAGAAGCGCAACCTGAGAAACGAGAAGGAAATTCGTGAATAATACCAGCGTGCGTATTCGCCCTACGAATATATTCAACGTGGCTAAAGAAAACCGTAGTCAGTTTCGAAAACGAAACAAGAGCACGAGTTGTATTCTATTCTTACCAATTCGCCTCCTGTTCTATCAGCAAGGTAACTGGCACCATTCCACAAGCATTCGTTCGCGTCCTCTTCCAATTCCAGAGGATTATGTTCCTTGATTGCTGGAAGCGCAGGGGTGGTGGTGGCGGCGGGTTCCTTCCATACCGTGGATTCGTTTTGAACAAGGTCCTCGGTGGAAAACGAGAAACTCCAATCTTCCAGTTCTGCTCGGTCGTATTCCAACTCGAGTAGATCTCGATGTTGTTGAGCACTTCTGCTGTCGTCCAACCTGAAGTTTATTTCGGGTTTATTAAAGCGAATTATACTCGACGACCGAACGAGCGAGTCTAAGAGAATACCCGAAGGTACGAGATCGACATTTGACGACTATGGAGAGAGAGAAAAGGCGTAATTAGAAAATCGCAAACGAACCTAAGCCACTGCTGCACGTACTCGGCATCCCAACCTTCTTCCTCGACCAGAAGCAGAGAAGAGGATCCCATGGGACTCGGTAGCTTGTACGGCGTGACGTTGGTCGTGGTGGTGAGCCTCAAGCACAGGTGACTGTCAGAGAAGCTGCGTATCACGTGCTGATACGGTAGCAAGTCTTTGGTCGGGGGATAGCTGTGACGCGGATTTATTCCTACGGTAAGATTCAACGGCAAAAACAACACGTCTGGATCACCAGCATCGAGGGCGACCAGTCGTGCATCCGGGGAAACGTCTGCCTCGGTCTCGTCCGTCGCCTCCTTCAAGTCCTCCAACCCCCGGGATGGTTCTTGTCGAGCACCTTCACCCTGCACGTCGCTGGACATCGTTGAGTAACCCTCGTCTCTATTCCCGCTCTCTGGACTCTCGCTACCTTCCTCTTCTGACGGCTTCTGGGCTGAATTTTGGTGCTCGGTTATTTCAACTTTATCATTTCAACAGAGCCATATATAGTTCTAATTAATCGATTTTGCTAATTACTGATGTGCCAATTAAGAACTCGAACACGTCTAAACGTTTCGTCGATAGTATCTTTGGCGTATACTTTGAAATATTTATCTTCGTATTTCGCTATGTATCTCTGATATCGGGAAACGTACCCAACGGTCTGTTCCTTCGACATTTCGTGGCAGCCATGACTGGTATTTGTAAATTGAGCGAGCGTGGCCTTGACAAGGGAACCCAAGCTGGATCCAGACCAAGGGCGGCTACCACTGCCGCTGGTCCAGCTTCGAGGATCCCTTGAATCAATTCTGTCGGACTTCCAGGATTCGCGGCCTGGGCCAATAATCCTGAAAGCGCTCGATTCTGAGCCTCGAGCTCGCGGATGCGCCTCTGCAATGCACCGATCTCTTCCCTCAGACCCTACGGACGATAAGAAACATCCATGAGTACCGTGTTTCGTCGTGTACCAGTCTACAAATGACAACAGAAAGCGCGTTAGCGGACCAACAACGAGGATCTTGAACTAAAACCATCGACGATCGGACGTGACTGGATAGAACAAGCTAGATTGCTATGCGGAAATTCGTAACAGCGTTAAACACAGGACATAATTCTCTATTCGTCTCTATCTCTGCTACGTTTCAAAATATTCGAATTAAATTTAAAAAAGCACGAATTTTCTCAACACATCGTCTATGTCTGGGATAAAAATATCGATAGCTATACTCGAGGTATCTAATCGCGCGAATTGGGTATACACACAGTTGCAGCTTAGCGCTCTTACAGCTCAGCGGATGCATTAGACGGGATCGACGGGTGAAATCTGGTTAATCGTTAATGGGCACTTTGGAGCAAGTGGTATACGTTAAACGAACGAAAACTGGATATACACACAGTTGCAGCTTAGCGCTCTTACAGCTCAGCGGATGCATTAGACGGGATCGACGTCATAGGTGAAATCTGGTTAATCGTTAATGGGCACTTTGGAGCAAGTGGTATACGTTAAACGAACGAAACTGAACATAAATCTATAGTACGTTATTTAACAACGGAAACAACAGATGCAGAGCAAACGATTGAACGTAAAGATAGATGGCGCGCGGATCGCGTTGTAACGCAGGGCAAACGAGAAAACGAAAAGCAAAGGGGAACGAAGAGAAGAAAGGCAAGTGGAGGACGTGGTAACGAGAGCATAGCAATGAACCTTTTGGGATAGAAGGGCGCGGACCACCTGGTTGGCGACGTCGTCCAAGCACCGCTCGTACTGACGACGCTGAGCGTCCGCATCCCTCGCCAAGGCGGCGTGTTCCGTTTCCAAGGTCGCCAAACGTGCCACCAGCGCAGCATGCACCTCACCAGCACATGCAGCCTCCAAACCGTGCAGCTGACCCCTCATCGACTCGTTCTCCAGCTGCAGCTTCGAGATCTGTGCTTGATACTGATGCACGCGTGCCTGTTCGACAATCAGAAAAACAGGAAGATCGTGAATGAAAAGGTTCGAATGTTCCTGGTATAGTTATTCCGAGTTGGCGGGAAAGTAGTAGAGAAAGGCGAACGACGAGTTCCACGGACACCCGAGACTTCGTGGATCTCTGGATTCTTCGCAAGTCCGCGCGGTATCGGGATAGTTTCGAGAACTTGTGCCTCCTCTCCATGGCCAAGTGCAGTTTTCCCGAGAACTCGTTGCAGTTCGCAGCCAGAGTTAATAACACGAGCGGTCGTTATTAGCAGAAAAGCGTTTAACGTTAAATTAGGGTTGCGGAGACCTGTCGGAGACAGGGGTGCTAATAGAGGGTGCGTGTGTCTGATTTATAACAGTCGTGCCAGCCAGCCGGCCCTTGCTAATGTCTACACACCCCCTTCTTCTTCCGAAACCGAAGGGACGCGAACGATTTTCTGTCATGCCGCGGGAGGCGAGGGAAAATAAAAATACAAACTGTCCGCTTCTTGGAATTCATCTCGCGGCACGTTCAACGCCTCTTCGCGCCGTTTCGCGCCGCGCTCGCGTAATTTATCGTCGCGCCCGACAGCCACTCGTGCGTCTCTAAATTGCACGCATCGACCGCGGGGAAATTTCTAATCTAACTGCGAGCTGGCACCGACACAGTTCCACGAAACAACCGTACCAGGGAGTTAAATCAAAGCGCTCGAAGAATCCGACGACTTTCCTAGGAACACGAGCAACGCGCCAGCAGAGAGTACAGTTATCGCGAGGGTTACGAGTGCAATTCTTGGAAAATTTCGGTTTTGGTTGAACCATCGGGACCAACTCGAATGCAGAAATCATTTCACCGGTGGACGAAAGACCGTAAGACCGATTTAAACGAAAATATTGAAAAATTGACGAATGTGTACCGTGGTAAATCTAGAATCAAGCTGCACTCGATACTCCATCACGTTCATACAAGTCCCCTGCTCGTCAATCCTTCCACATCTCGGATAAAAGAACGCAAGAGGGTTCTCGTCAGCAACCCGAATCCGGTTCGCCTCTTTTTATCGGGAAAACAACGCGGAGCGAAGTTTCCTCGGAACTTTTCGCGCGAAGATCGCGAGGAAAGGAGGGCGTACGAGAGTAAAATGGAACAGCTAGAGATAGAACGCTCGCAGACGCGCTTCCTCGTAGTCCGGGAGAGGGATTTTTAGGGGGTGGTTGGCATCGGTGGGGCGGGCCGACATTGAGCCAGGGGATCGAGTGACGATCGATAATAAACGGTATTTCGTGGGGCAGTGATGCACACCCCTCGTCTCTGAATCTACGACTCTTTTAGAAGCAAACCGGCCGTGAACGAGATAGTGCGTACCATTCTAAGGGCTCGCAGCAAACGCCACCGTTTACCGTTTCCTCCCCTTTCACTGCACCCGGCCTGCGTTGCTTTACTTCGTTAAGTCTGGAATATTGGTCGTTGGCAAATACATGGCAAAAGTATCTCGGCTATATTGCGTGTGCTCGGCTTGCTCAGGATCGAGCATAAATTCCGCAATTCGGCTGCGGTATCGCTGACATCCTGACGACGATCAGCTCGAAACTCTCTCATTCTCCCTCGTTCTCCGGCATCTTTGAATTTACCGTCGCCATTACGATTACCCGAGACACAGTAAGCCTCGTGATTAAATTTGCGTGAAATAGACGATGGAAAAGTAGACTTTCACGTAAAATATTCAGACCCCGAAGAGGGTAACAGAGTAATGCGAGTTAGTCTCAGAGTTTCGTTTCGATACGACGAGAGCACGCTGCTCTCTCATCTCCTCGAATCAATTCCACGGAGAAGTTAATTGAAACGCCAAAGCGAGCAGCGACAGGGCTACGCAGGTCGAACAGGATATATCTTTAATCGCGACGATCAAGCGTTTCTAAGCGGAGGACCGCGTTCTTCGATTCGCCGTCGTGTCACGGATCGAAAGTAGCGGGTGAGAGGATGAAATAAATTGCGTTACGCGAATTCAACGGCAGACCCGGCGCCAGCTTTGTGTCGCCGCCAGGAACAATCGTACATGACAACTTCAGTTGAAATACAATAACAGTCTGCTGGTTCGCGCTACGAGAACGTTGTTATTGGACCGGGGGAAAGCTTTTTACCCGAGTGTCATCGTGTCTCGACTTCTGTTTACGATAAAAAATAGGAGAAAAATAGGAGGCAAAATGGAAAAAGCGGGGGAAAAAGGTACGAAAAAGGGGAACAAAAAGCAGTCGAGGTGAAAAAAAGGAGGAAAACAGAGTACAGTTTATTCCAGTCGGTATTCCGTTGGCAGCCTCTTGGTTATCTGTTCCTGCTTATCGAGAACGGGACATTTGGTTCGCTCGACTGGGGAACATTTCGCCTTTCATTTCGCCCCGATTCGGGGAGGAACGCTAAAATCGGATGAAACACTCGAACGAATATAAATTTAAGGAGGACGACGCTCCGTGGAATTGAAATCCTGCCTCCCTTCAGGGACGAAGGGACCTATGTTTCGACGTAACGGCGAAACACGACCAATTATCGGGCAATCGTGCTCTTCTGGAGTCAGAAGTTTTAATGGCGCTTCGCGTAATCGATACCAACTTGTTTAACGAAAGGAAAATGCAGCAACGTTATATTCGATATCGAATATCTTCGAAAAGTTTCGAGTTTTACGATTTTAAACTTCGCGTTTCGGATATTTCTCTATGGTGTTGTACTTTCGCGTCTTTTCCCCAGAATCGTGCGACGATTCGGATCATCGGTTTCCCGATCTCGTTCATTCACCGAGTCTAACTTACCTCGTAAGAAAGCGTGAGCGCAGTTTTCTCTTTCTTCAGCTGTTCGGCCCGGTGCTTGTGCTGCAGCAACCGGCGTGACGTCTCCTCCATCCTGGAACAAATCGAATTCGCTTGAAGGGGCAGCTCAGTTTTAATTCTCGTCGAAAAGGTTCTAATTGAACCGAGCTCGTGGCCCCGGCCAATCTCTTTGCCATTGTTGCGTTTCAATTGCTTCCAGCACGCTAATTCTACCGTGAAATATTAATACTTCAGAATCCAATAGGACTCATCGGGCTCGAAACGTTCGCCGATAAATAAAATCTGCGCAACGATAGGAGAGAAAATATCTATTAACGGCGGGCAGCCAGCGCGTGAAAAATTCGTTCTTTTGGCGCAGGGTTTCACGGTTAAACGGCTCCGCGGGGTCAAACGACCGCCGGAGCGTCGGTGTTGCTATTACGATTACACAGGTGAGAAATCGTTGCAAATGGGGCAGGGTAATGGATACAGTTGTGGAACATGTTGTCACAGCTGTGTACTGCGAATAAAAAATCGCTCTCATTTGGAAGACAGTTGCCAGTGTACTTCGCCACACGTTACACCCTCGCTACGAGTGCTTTCGAAAGTTTCACCATCTGTCGTGGAAACCATCCTGTCTATTAGCGTAATCACGCCTCGAAAATTTTCGGAGTCACGAATCATACGAAAATTCGAATTTCGAGATGCAACTTTTTTATAATGACTAGTCGTTTGCATTTGCTTGACAAAGGGAACGGAGAAGCAATTGGAACGACTGAAATTTGCACGAGATACGAGGGAAAAAGAAAGCGAAAGGGGGGGAAAGGTAGCACCACGTCGTCAAGTCTGGCCACCCACTTTAGAAGCAGCCCCGACCCCGGGGTTCTAACCTAATAATTCGCCGAGTGTACCCAGAGGTTTATCTACAAACGTGCACGTTTACGCGGAGGTCAAAGCGGAAAAAAGTCGCGACCCCTCGTCGATGTTGATTCGATTATCCATTTTCTTCGCGACGCACGCGGACCAACGGAGGACGACCGTTCCTCGACAAATTTCTTCATGCGCACGCTCCGCGGGCTTAATGATCTGATTAGAGATACAAGAGGGTTCTCCAGGGGTTGAGATATGAAGCCGATTTAAGCTTTTCGAGGGAGACGAGGCGAGGGCTCGCCTCCAACACGCCTGGCAACACCCTTTTCGTTCCCCCACCGGCCATGCTTCTTCCTTCTGTTCCTCCTGGCTCTTTCCAAACTTTCCAACTAACTGCGCACTTCTCGGGGCCAGTGTCCGATTGTTTTCCGTCGTAGGAGAGCCATCTGCAGGAACGCGGAAGGCTTTAATGAAGATTAATTGATGATTACTCGTTGCCACGCTCCACTGCCTCGTCCCCCCGAATCGCTTTCGTCTTTTGGCGGAAAAATTAGGAAACGGATTCGAGTCTCGTTCGAATTTCTTATTTGCGATCATTGCCTCGTAGTCGAATTCCTTTAACGCGGTAATTTTATGGAAGATCGAACCTCGATAAGGGAGATCAACGATCGATCGAGAGTCGCGTTGTGTCGCGAAGCATCGAATAAACCAGGCGAAAATTTTAATTCGTTTATTGCGTTAAAGCAGGAACATCTATAAGCGAGTCGTTATAAGTCGTGGAAAGTCTTTGGGAATAATTTTTCCTCCGGGAACAGAGGCTGCGAAGAAATAGGGAACGCAAAGGCACGGGATCTGTTAACGAGTAGCTCGAGGATTTCCTCGATTTCCACGATTGCAAGCCTCGTAATTAAGTCTCCTCTAAGAAAGTCGATAAGCACCGGCTCGATGCCGATTGTCTGCCGCTTTAAAACGCCTGCGAGGTATTTTTACCGTCCGTTTTCCCTCGGCATCGTCTCATAGAGGACTCGTTTGTGTGCACACCGGATCGCGGAAAGAAACTCCGCGAATAAGCTGATTGTCCCGGCGAACTTGCTTGTTCAGACTCGCGGATTGTGTATATTCGAGGAGTTCGAGGATGTTAATCGGCTTAAAAGTCCGCTCGTTAAAGTTCCCGGTTTACCTTCGCTCTTAATGTGCTTTCGAAACGATTATGAAAATGGCGGGATCGAAGTATCCGATCGGGGCTTAAGCGAAAGATAAACCGTCCATCTTTATTAACGGATCCCGTAGGAAGGTGACGACATCTCGCGCGTTCTCCTTCTTATCCCGTTATCCTTCACCCTTCGCGATTTTTCCCGTCCGCTTCGTTTCCATCTCGTTTACTTAATACTCGCTCGACTTTTCCCGATACGAGACTGGCGACAGCGTCGAAAGCAGGATGCTTCGTCCTAGCAGACGTCGAGAAAGTTCGCGGGAATGTTCCAGTGATCGAAAGTTTCTCGACAGACTATTCTATGAGACAGGGTAGCTACCCCTTATTTTTACACCTCTCGTTGGATCATCGCGTTACTTCAACCCTTTGCGGACGGAGCGGTTTTGAGTAAACCGTGGGACGCAGTCGCTGCCACGATAGTCATTCGAAATTACCAGCGCTAATTTCTGCTTAACACGTTAATTTCCACGCCGAGGGACCGACACTAGACTTTCCTCAGGGACCGGACTAGGACCAAAAGGTGCTAACTTTTGGTGTTAAATTCTTCGCCATCTTTGGACCTAACGATTGGGAATTCCTGTTATAACAATCGGTACAGTATCTCTGAGTTTTATGAATACTTCGCCCATCGTCGGTGGCCCTCTCGACGGGTAGGCCTGAATCTGGGCCTGAACGGAATTGGAAGCAAAACGGGCTGGACATTTAACGTGTTACACGCGATTTTCGTTCATAGCTGGCAATAAGGACATAAAACAGTCCACCACGTCACAACAGTCCTTGGGACCTGCGTTCTAGGGCCGCAACAGCCCTCGACCAAATTGATGACTTCCACTGAACGCATATATATGGTTGTAGTCCACAAAGGACTAGGGATCTTTGGATTCCTCGTTTACCATTAGTTGTCATTCCTCTGCCCGATAATAATAAGAGTATGTTGAATTATTATTCTTTTGTTAAATAATTGGACAGCTGATTTCCGAATTGAAATGATTTATTAACGATGAAATAGCTCGGAGTCGCGGTAATAGCCACTAGGAAGGTTGAAACAGCGCGTGAACAGTTTAACGAGTTCCTACGGGTACGAAAGGGTTGTTCACTTTGTTCGGGAAGGTTTATGCATCTCGGTTCATGAATGTTAACGAATGTGGAGTCTTATTTCTCTTCCGGGGATGAAGTAATAATTCACCGGTTCCGCAAGTAACCCCGTAACCTTCTTCGTTAGCGTTTTACCCAGAGGTCGATCTCAGCAGTGGAACGGGCAGACTTTCCACGGTGATTCCGCGTAACTTATCAACTGGGGTGCCATTTCAGGCGCCAGGCTTAAGAACAATGCTCCGCAAACAGTAATTACAAGCGCAAACAGAAGAGCGATTGTCAGTGGGGCAGTCATACGATGAATAATCAAGATCGCAGACTTGCCAGTCGCCTTCGCTCTGTGCGCATTGTGTCCCTTTATACTCTTCTTCGAAGATTCCGCGCATTCGTTTCTCCTCGATTGTTTGATCTCGGGGTACTTCAAATAGAGTCTAACTATCGGGGACTAATTGGCTCTGCTTTAAGGCGGGATTCCGATTCTGATTTCAATTAAAATCCAACGCTGTCAACTTTTTAACTCGAGGCGAAGTTACTCGGTTTCCAAGGCCCAAATTTCGAGTGCAGAAAATAGACTGTCAAATTACAAATTTTTGTTTTTTAAATGAACGATAATTCCGTGGGATTCCGATTTTGATTTCAATTAAAATCCAACGCTGTCAACTATTTAATTCTGGGCGAGATTACTCATCTTCGAAGACCCAAGCTTCGAGTGTAAAAAATAGACTGTCAAAGTAGAAATTTTTGTTTTTTAAATGAACGATAATTCCGCGGATTCCGATTTTAATTTCAATTAAAATCCAACGCTGTCAACTATTTAACTCTGGGCGAGGTTACTCATTTTCGAAGACCCAAGCCTCGAGTGTAAAAAATAGACTGTCAAAGTAGAAATTTTTGTTTTTTAAATGAACGATAATTCCGCGGGATTCCGATTTTAATTTCAATTAAAACCCAACGCTGTCAACTATTTAATTCTGGGCGAGATTACTCATCTTCGAAGACCCAAATTTCGAGTGTAAAAAAATAGACTGTCAAATTACAAATTTTTGTTTTTTAAATGAACGATAATTCCGCGGATTCCGATTTTAATTTCAATTAAAATCCAACGCTGTCAACTATTTAACTCTGGGCGAGGTTACTCATTTTCGAAGACCCAAGCCTCGAGTGTAAAAAATAGACTGTCAAAGTAGAAATTTTTGTTTTTTAAATGAACGATAATTCCGCGGGATTCCGATTTTAATTTCAATTAAAACCCAACGCTGTCAACTATTTAATTCTGGACGAGGTTGCTCATCTTCGAAGACCCAAGCTTCGAGTGTAAAACATGGACTGTCAAATTACGAATTTTTATGTTTTAAATAAACGATAATAAAACTTAGATTTAAAAATTTAAGAGTCGAGTTTGAAAGTTTAAAATTCGTATTTGGCTCTTGGTCTACGATACGGCGCGAGGCTTCTGGCGAGGAATTGTGGTCGAAACATAATCGTCATGAGCGCGATGCGTGGTTCGTAGATAGCTTGCAATGTAAACACGGACCAGTCGTAACCTGTTCGTCGCTAATTTTCGTCGATGTCTTTCCGCCTTAGTTACGTGTTATTCTTCGCAGTGTTCGGACGTCGTGACTCGACGCGTGACCGCATTGTTGATTATGGCACGCGTTATCGGAACTCAAGCCACGTGCTGGGACTAGGATAACGAAGAGCCTCTTTGTTTCTCCCACGGTAAGCGTAGAAAATATAATTGTTTTTCGAGAAAAGGAAGGTATATTTAATACTGTACGAATTATTACAATTGTATAATGATTTAATCAGGTGGCGAGGGTTGGTGATGACCTGAAGACCAAGATCGTGTCTGTGACAGAAAATGGAGGAAAGGAGACAAAACCCAGCGATGACCACATCAGTCTACATACAGCAGA